TCCTTCCACTTTGTCCCTAGTGCCCATAACAATTTTCAATGATTTTATGTCCTCCGCTCTTCGAGTCTCTACCACAGAGTGTAGACAGTTGATGTATGTTAAGTGGAGACATACAATGTCTCTGTTTCATAGCCTGGCTTGCTTTACTCAGCAGTAAACCTTCCATGTTCTTCCACTTTCTGTACAATGCCAGGGTCTTTTTTTTTTTTTCTACTTTTTTTACAATGCCAGGGTCTTTTTTTTTTTTTTTTTTTTTATTGGCTGAATAGTATTCCATGGAGTATGTGTGCTACACTTTTTCAATTCATCTGTTTGTGGACTTTTGGGTTGGTTTCATGTCTTAGCAATAGTGAATACTGCCACAATAAATATAGTTGGGCAGGGGCTTTTCCAATGGAGTGGTCTCCTGTCCTTTGGGTAGATTACCTAGGAGTGGAATTGCTGGATTATATGGTAGCTCTATTTGAAGGTCTTTGAGGAACTTCCATATTGTTTTCCACAGTGGTTGGACCTAAGGTGTATTTTCTACCAGGCTCTCTGGTGAAACTGATGCTGCTTGCTCAATAGCAGATTTGAATAACGCTTGCTCGAGTATGACAAAGACTCATTTTTTACTCATGCTCCTCACCTTCCCCCTGAAGGGTAGCTTGACTTTGTACAGAATTTTATTTATAAAAGAACACAGTAGTGGGGCTGGCAGGTAGCATAATTGGGGGCACTGGATTCCCACATAGCCAACTGTAGTTTGAGTCCCGGACTTGGCAGCTTGCTTTCTTGCTTTCCCTTTCTCTGTCTCTGTCTGGTCAAATTTAAAAAAAAAAAATCATAATAACAAATGGGATTAAATAAATTCTTTTTTTAAAAAAACAATTTAATGTTATTTTTAAAAATTTGACCAGAGAAGGACAGAGAGGGAGAGTGAGAAAGCAAGCCACCAGGTCTGGGACTTGAACCATGGTCAGCCATGTGGGAGTCCAGCACCCTTAACTACCATGCCACCTGCTGGCCCCCTAAATAAATAATTCTTAAGAAACAAAAAGTAACTAGGAGCTAAAAAAAAGTAAGGCTGAGTTGTACTTATGGGTTTTTGTTCTAATTAGCACAGGTCCAGCCAACACTGGCATCTGTTCTGTTCTGTTCTTTAAGTCTTGTAAAGCTCAAATATGGGATTTAACAAAACATGTTGACTGTTTCAAGAGCTCTTTATTTTTTTCCTCTGATTTTTATTGACGAAGGAAGTCGGGAATCAGGGAGGGCATGTGGGAAGTTGCATGGCTGCAGAGAAGGGTGGGACAGCCCTCCAGGTGTTCAGGAGAAAGTAATTTTGAGTTGTTCTTCACTTTGTTGAATGTCTCTGAAAACCTCTTCTGGGTCTCTGCAGAAATGTTCCTGTTTGGTGTGGTTAGTAGCTGACCAGGCCTTGTCCTCCAGGGTGTCTCTAAACACCTTCCATTTATCTGGGATGCACTTCAAGGTGCCGGAGATATCTGGGGCTGTCTGGCCTGGGGCCAGGTCTTCCAAACCATCAAGAGAGCTACCATTGGAACTGGGAGTGAGGATGACCCTCGGGGTAGGGCCGTGGGAGTTGGGGTGAGTGGACACTGTATTTTTCTTGGGATAACATGGGTGCCCATGTGCTGTTTTCACTCATCGGGGAGCTAGGAATAAAAACACCGTAGTGGAGATTATTGTTAATACTTATGTGTGCTTGCTGTGAGCCAGTTGTTATTAGATGATGAACTGTGTAGCTGGTTACCCCCAAATTACAGAGAAGATGCTGAGGCACAAACTGGCTGCTAGTAAGGGGAGCACCTGGGATTTGAACCTATATTCTTTCACTGTGGAATTTATGCTATGTTAAAATCTGAGGAGACTTCTGGTGAACTCTTGAGTTCTCTTTTTCTCTACAAAGGAAAAAGGAAACTCACAAGAAATTTGTTTTAGGAAAACTGTTTCTTAGAACTACTCTGCCTCAGACTTTTTTTTTTGTTTGTGTTTTGTTTTGTTTTTAATTTTGCCAGAGGGCAGTGTGCTTGCAGGTGTGGGAAAGTTGGGGGGGTGGTGAGAAAGCATCCCTGACGGGGCATAGTCATGCTGTGTAACCCTTTCTTCATTTTTCTATCCTGTCAAGATTTTGGGCATGCATGGTATGGTGCCTGGCATGTTTTTTAAACCACAAGGGCAGGGATTTGAACTACAGTCAGGCATGTGGGGTCTAGCTTCCTTAATTGCTAGGCTATGGGGCCAGGCCTATTTTTGTTTTCTTTGTACATGATAGAACTGTTAATCTCTTACTCCAGCTCATCCATCCATTCTTGTGCAGCTGTATGTGCCCAGCATGTTTTTCAGGCTGACTGGGCTGGAGATTTGAGCTATTGTTGCCATGTTGGATCCAGCTTCTCATTAGTAGTGCATTACCACTGCTATGGAGCCAGTCCGCTGCACAGTTTTTCATAGCTGTTTTTTTAAGGATATCTGTCATGCAAAGAAGTATTACCTAGGGTCCCATTTTATGAGAACCATTAGATTCCTGTGAAGTTTTCAAAACATCCTGTTAAAAGCCCAGTGTGGGCCCCAGCCTGTAGCCTTGTGGTTAAGGGGTCAGCTCCACATGGCTGACTGTGCAGTTTTAATCCTAGCCTTGATGGCATGAAAAATGTGCCAAGCATGTGTGTATATGTGCCCAAAATTCTGATAGGATGGAGAAATGGAAAGGGAATTGTGGCATGACCATGCCCCATGGGGGTGCTCTCTCTCTCTGTCTCTGGTGAGTGCACATGCCCTCTGGCAATTTAACAACAAAATATGCCCAGCGCAGTGGTATATGACTGTAGTTCCGACTTATCACAAGGCTGAGGCAGGAGGATGACAATATGGGGAGAACTGTCCGAAAAATTCTATCCAGTGAACAACATGCCCTAAAGCAAACGTCTCTCAAAAAGAAGAACTATCAAATAGTAGAGAGATAAAATAATTACACTTTATTGGTTACTTTTTACATGTAAGGCACTTGTGTGGAGGTTGAAAAGGTGTTTTTTCCCTCTCCCTCTCTTTGTCAGACAGTGTGTGCACTTACCGTAGACAGAGAGAGGGGTAAGTCACCCACCAGTGGAGTGTGGTCATGCCAGTCTCTTCTCCATTTCTACATCCTCTCAGAATTTTGAGCATGTATACACATGTTCCGTGTGTGTGTTAGAAGTTTTTGCTTTAGGGCTTGTGCATTTGCCAGAGAAAGACAGAGATAGTGAGAGGGAAGGTGAGAAATCACTCCGAGGGGGTATGGCCATGCCGCAATCCCTTCTCCATTTTCTTCGCAGGATCTTTGGTATGCATGCACACATGTCTAGCATGAGTTTCAAGCCACTGGGTCTGGGAGTCGAGCTGCCATGTGTGAGGCCAGGGATAACCACTATGCCACCTGATGCCCCCCGACCCCCCAGGGTGTTTTACAAGCCACTGGGGCCAGGATTTGAACTGTGTGGTCAGGTATATGGGGTCCAGCTTCCTTAGTCACCAGGCCACAGGCCTGACCCAATGTCTTTTTAAAGTTTATTTATGAGAGAGACAGAGGTAGGTACCTCCAGCAAGGTCTCTATACTGTGATCCACCCTGAGCCTCAGCCAGCCATCATGGGTACACATGTGTATGTCTGCCTCAGGATGCAAACCCAGAACATGTGTGGATCCAGCATCACAGAATGTTATGTTAGCATTGTGAGACTGGCCCCCGATGTCTTTTTTTTTTTTTTTAATGGAATTCAGCCTAATGCAGTCCTATGTGAAAGTCAACCATGGCAATGGTTGCTTTGCCACTGAGATGCTGTGTGGGGAGCCCAGAGGAAGGCATGGTTGTGAGTGTTCTGGGACAGATGTCAAGATGACATGAGCTCTAAGGACCAGCATGTGCTGGAGAATGGGGTATGAGCAAAGCGTGGCTGGGACTGTGGGCTGTGTGAAGAGGAAGAGATGACAGTTTAATGGATTAAGGGTCAGGCTGAAAGAGTTGTGTCCCACTGTTAGAAGTGACAGTCTATTCCTATGATCAGTTTTGATTACTTGGGCATTTGGAGGCAGACTGGAAACTGAGAGAACCAGTTTAGAGGCCATTTGCAGGTAAGATTTCATTAAACATGAGCCCGATGGGGACAATAAAGCCGGAAAGTGATGGTTCTAACTCCTAAGGACAGGATACTGGGCCTCCTTGGTACCAGCCTTTGGCTTTGCCAATTTCCTCCCCATTAAAGCCCAGAAAGGGTTGGGTGCAAAGCATACTTAGGGCATAGCCCTAAGATCCTGGGTCCCTAGGATCTAAACAGCCTCTAGAAAGACCCTTTAAGTGCTGTTTCCTGGAAAGAGCATCTTATTTCCCTTGTAGGCAGAAATTGAATCCAGAGAAAAAACAGCTACCAGAACTAACTTCCTGAAAATCTGTTGTGGTTGGCATATTTCTGGGCAGTGTATGTCCTATAACCCTTTCCTCCAGGGGGTAGGGTGCAGCAGGGGAGCACTTAAGCCTGCAAGTGCCGGTGTCTGAAGGGACCCTTGGATTCTATTTGGTGGCTGTGCTCTTCTGTCCTGTGTTTAGATACAGTGCTCTAATGTCTCTCCCCTGAAAAATGCTTTAATTTCACTTATTTTCCCCCTCTGAAAAAAGCAAAGGTAGAGGACTTATGTAGACTAATCTGTTTCAAAATACTCCTGACAGCTCTAACTCCCCCCTCCCCCCCACCCCCAGTTCCAGGCTCCTTTAACCTTAGACCTTGACTGTAGAGCTGTTATCTACAATCTCAAGAGCAGATCCTTTGGGTAGCACTGGAGAAAGCACCAGATGGTGAATGAGGAGGGGCAGTTACAGGGCAGCTGCAAGATAGGCAAGATGCAGGAGGAGTTCAGGGAACCTGATGCTGAGGAACAGTGAGGCTAGGGTTCACCTGAACCCGTGCAGCCTTCAGGAATGGAGTGTATGCTGTGCTTCCAGGCTGGAAGAAGGAAACACGCAAGTATGAGCTGGTTTTTTGTATATTGTATATTAAAAAAAACATTCAGGATGAATTGGCTGGCACTGCAAGGGCCATTGCTGGGGAAGACACATCAGCTCTGCTCCAGGTCGGCCACCAGGTAGGGCTGGGTGTCCCTCAGGGCCTGGAGGAGCAGATCTTTGCAGGTCACGTTCCAGGCTGGAGCAAAGCTGTAGAGTTTCCTCATCTTCATTTGACTGGTGGTCTCTGCTCGCACCGCCTGGTACTGTTCCTCGGTCAGGACCTTCCCATGCAGGGCATCTAACACCCCATCGATGGCTGTGACCCGGTTGATGAGCGCTGCACGGTGCTGGTCCACAAAGTGCAGTGCTGGGGCTGGGAGCAGGAGGAACAGATGAGCCAGCCCTCGGGATCGGGTGAGGGGTGCTGGGTCTGTCCCTGCTCAACACCGCTACCTTCGAAATTCCCAAGGCTACACGTCAAGGGGGTGGGTGGCCCACTAGGCTTTCAGTGACAATAGGATGAGTGTCACTTTGTCTCCCTTTCTCCCTGCAACTGGGCTCCCCGACCCGAGCAGGTGTGTGAGTAGTAGGTAGGTGGGCAGAATTGGCCCAGCTTGCTCTGGTCAAGGGGCAACCTGTAGGCTGCGGAGGGGTGTGGCAGGGTGTGGCTGGAGAGGTTGCCCAAGCAGGCTAGGTTGGGTGTGGAGACCTCACCTGACTTGGCTGCCATGGGAGGAGAGTGCCTGATCCCGACTGGTGCAGCAGCAGGCTCTGTAAGGAAGAGAGTCAAGTGGGCCCTTTCCCTTCCTATTGAATCCAGGCTTTGGAGTGGGTGGGGGTAGGGAGTGGGCCTTGGTCAGGATATGAAGTTCAGGGCTAAGCGCATTACCAGTAGGGAGTTTTTTTTGTGTAGAGATTTTTGCCATAGGGTGCCTGGGCTTGCGGTTGGGTGGCTGGGTGGGGAGGAGTGGGGAGAGAGAGAAAGACAGACAGACAGACAGCGAGAGGGAAGGTACAAAATCACCACCCACTCCCCGGCGGGGTGATGGCCATGGATTTTCACACTACTATCCCTTGTCCATTCTCCTCCCAGGGATCTTGGGCGTGCACACACATGCACCTGGCATGATTTTCAAGCCATCGGGTCCGGGACTCCAACCACAGTCATCCATGTGGGAGTCCGGCGGGTTAACACCATCTGCTGCCCTCCACCCCCTTTTTAAAAGAGGATAGGAAGATCAGAAAGCGGAAGAGCCTGAGGGGCAAAAGTTTGGTTAGGGTGTGGGAGTTGGGAGTAGACGAAGGGACGGGGGTGGGGGGGGCTCACTCTTGAGCGTCCTCTGCAGCCCCTCGGCCATCTCCTGCATGCCCATGTCGCGCAGCACGGCCGCGGTGAGCTCAGCGCCGTAGGTCTCCAGATAGAAGCTGACGATCTTGTCGGTGAGGTCCACGGCGTCCATGGGCTGCAGTTGCCCCCGCGGGATGCGACCGTAGCCCTCGCGCAGAGGCACTGACAGCAGCTTCATTTTGAACTTCTTGAGCTCGTCAGCGGTCAGGTTCTCCAGCGCCTCCAGGATGGCATCGCGCCCGCTCCCCATGGCTCTGGGATCCCCCGCCGCCGCCTTTTCACCCCTGCCGCCTGCTGCGGTCCAGGAAGTCTGCTTCGGGGCGGGACCTGGGACTCCCCGCCTTCCCTGATTCCTGTCTCCGCCCCAGCACGTTGCTCTTCGGCTGGCGCACTTTTCACTCCTTTGGTTTCCATCCGCCAGGACCTCCAGATAGTAACTCTTAGCCACTTAGTGTGTGTGTGTTGCATGTGTGTATAATAGCATGTGAACATGTGTGAGATAGAGTGCCACAGTGGACAGAATCCCCTCACAGTGATCCTGATTCCCTATCTCCATCTCTTCAGGATCCTGGGTGCCTGTATGTGGGCACTGGATGCTTTCAGACCAATCCTGGATTGTTTGTTTTAAAGAATTATTTTATTTAACTTTATTTAATTAATTGATTAATTAATTAATTTATATTTGACCAGAGAGGGACAGAGAAAGTGAGAAAGCAGCGCCAGGTCTGGGAGTCCAGTGCCCTCAACCACCACGCCAGCCACCAGCCCTGATCCTGGATTCTGAATCCCAGTTGGGCCTTGTGGCTTCTAGCACGGCAGTCCATGCCCACTTAGTAAATATTCCAATTAACACAGCTATCTGATGGCGCCTGAAACCTTGCCAAATGCTTCTGGGGAGACCAGGATTTGGTCCCAGGAGCTGAATTTCTTGGGAAGTGATGACAGAGTTTTCTCAACTGGAGGGAAGGTCATAGGTAGCTAGATGCGAGCCCAGGAGGCTTGACCCAGAACAGCAGGTGAAAGCTGGTGTGGGATGGCATCGAAGCCCGGGTTCTGCCCAGGCCCTCCCCTTGCTTTTAACATGCTTGGGAAGGTCCTGATGGTCTGGTCCCTGAAGACCTTCCCCGCCTGCTCTTGCATCACACACTGCTTTCCCTCTGTCTCTGAGTTCCAGACAGTTCCTCAAATGTAACCACTACACCTGCTGGCCCCAGCCCTTTTTATTTTAAAAGTGTTGTTTTATTGTTGTTTCATTTTTAAATTCATGATAGAGTGCATGCATATGAGAGAGAGAGAGACTCTCCACAGGGTTTGGCCACATCACAATACTTCCTCCAGTCTCCACTCTGTCAGATCCTGGCACTCACATGCACACCTAGCATATCTCAGCCCAGTCAGACTTGGCATTCAAACCATGGTCGCCTTGTAGGATCCAGACTTTCTCTCTTTCTCTTTCTTCTAGGTTGCTCTAGGGCATGTGTGCTCCCTGGAGTGAGACAGTGAGAAATCACTCCCCAGGAGGAAGGCCGAATTGCAATCCCTTCTCTGTTCTCTTGCAATTGTGGGCACCAGTGCACATGCACCGAACGTGTCCTTTTTCTTAGAGTTTTCAATAGGGCAAGAGAGAGCGAGAGACAGAAAGTGAGAAATCACCCCTCGTGGGGATGGCCATGACACAATCCCTTCTCCTTTAATCTCCTCTTGGAATTTTGGACATACATGCACATGCGCCCGGTATGAGTTCTTTTTTTTTTTTTAAAGAATTATTTATTTACTTACTTTGAACTTAAAAAAAAAACCCACAAACCCCCCTACATACTAAAATGATACACATCAAGTATTGGTCCAATCTTATATCAATCTATTTACAATTAAATAGCACCATAGTTTCTTACTGAGTTTACTTAAACATGCCCAGAGAATTGTTATTTAAAGTATATATAAGTATATATCCATTTAAAATAAAATAAATTCTTAAAAAGAAAACTCTAATCTTTTATGAGACCTCTTGCCAATCATAGACAGATGACATCACCAAATTGCTTTATGAAAAATTAAGTTTACTTTTTTGCTTCCAGTTGACAAAATTTTGAAAGATGCTGCCATTCACCATGGCACATGACTTTTGGTGCCAGGGCACTATGCTGACACGCTCAGACCTCCACCTGAGTATGCGCATTGTCCTCTAGGGTCAATGCTGTGCTCTGTCCTTGAATTCGGATTCAGTCCTTGCCACAGCTAGAGGAGATGTAGCCATATTCTTCAAAATGATTACTTAAAAGCAGAGAACTAGTTAAAGCTCTCAGAAATGTGGTGAGTTACCATTGTATTTAATCATCGTACAGGAGATTTAATACCATCTAAACATTATATCTGAACTAACTAGCACAGTCATGTTGTCATTAAGACTAGTCACGGTGCTTCGGCTCCAAGCAGCCGGAAGGTTGGGTATTTGCCACCGGGAACAGTGCCCCTCTTCTTGCCTTGACTCTTTTATGCCCTGCATTCTCCGGGGAATTGGCGGCCACATGGCAGAGCCTTTATGGAACCGATTTTTAAATGATTCCACATTAAACATAACCCTTGGCAGCTTTCCTAGTCATGGGATAGAAGAATCAGGTTCATTCACTGGATTTTTCAGCTTCCTAATCTAATTTGCAGATGCTTTTTTTTAAAAGAGGTTTTTGCTACAGGATGTGTGCGCTCATCGGAAAGACAGAGAGAGACAGAGAGACAGAAAGGGAGAAATCACCCCCAAGAGGGGATGGCTAGGCCGCAATCCCTTCTCCATTCTCCTCTCGGGATCTTGGGAATGCACGCACATGCGCCTGGCATGAGTTTAAGCCGCCGGGTCTGGGATTCAAATCAGGATCGACTACATGGGAGTCCAGTGACATAGCCATTACACTAACTGCGGTCCCTGCAGATGGATTTTAATTTGCCTCTTTGCTAGGAAAGATGAGGACAACTGTCATCGCCCATAGCTAGAGGTAACAGGCAACTGAAAAGCACTAAGGAATAAAGTAAGGCGTCGTCATTTGGTCTCACTGCCAATGTTTTAAGTGACGTCAGTAAACCTTTCACACTTGTCAGTTTCGAGTTGACATTTTCTCTAAAAACTGGAGATAGGCAGAGTTCTCCCTGGCACAGACAGGACAGGCTGTCCTCAGACCCTTCCTGCAGAGTGGGGGTGGAGAGAGAGTTGTCTGTCGTCCTGTTGTTGGAACAGCTGCACTGGACTCCTGTGTTCGCTGGCCCAGAAACTGCATTTGGGGTCACAGGTAGCTATGAGCAGTTCCAGGCAGAGGGGCTACAATGACAATATTATGTAGTCCTGAGTGCCAAAGCCTGGATATGGAAACAGCTTTTTGTTTTTAAGAGTTTTTTTTTTTTTTTTTTTTTTAAATAGGGAACGTGCTCTCGCCAGAAATAGAGAGACAGAGACAGAAAGCGAGAAATCACCCCCCAGGGGGGATGGTCTCACTACAATCCCTTCTCCTCCATTCTCCTCTCAGGATCTTGGGCACACACACACACACACACACACGCGCGCGCCTGGCGTGAGTTTAAGCCACCAGGTCCTGGACTCGAACCGTGGTCGACTACATGGGAGTCCAGCTACATAGCCATTACGCTAACTGCTGGTCCCTGGAAACAGCTTTTTTTTTAATACAGACATTTCAAAACACCTATGCAGCAAGAGAAGAGACTTTTTGACTGAGTATCAGCTGAAAACCAGAGACCTGACTGTATTGACTAAATTATTACCTAGTGTTCTGGAAGGGTGCCTGCCACCAAGGCACGAGAAGGCACTGGACTTAGTGCGAGTGTGAAGGAGCTCAGCAAGTGGAGATGCGAAAGCCACACCGAAACACAACCTGTCAGTCTCTACTCCTTGACAGCTACATGTTAGGTGAGCTAAGAAGAAAACACAGGAAGAAAAGCAGACCTCAAATTCTGCTCTTTTCAGTTTTCATTTTTTTAAAAAAGCCCAAGTTTTATAACTGTTATGGATGGTTTCTGCAAATCTGAATTCTGGTGCTTAATGCTGTTCTTCATGGATATGATGTTCCATTTACAGTCCAAATCATTTCAATACAGCAATTACATAGTTGTTGAGTGTTTTAAAATAAAGGGTCTATTTCTTAACTGCCTCTCAAATTAGAAATCGCAATGATATGCGTCTCTAAGGCTGGCCCTTTGTGTTTTATTATTTTTGTTGGTCTCCATCACAGATGGAATTTTTCACTGGTAATTCCTCAGAACTACGTCCATTCATCGGGAATTCGGAGCAGTGAAAATAAATTTCACGCCAAGAGTAGGAAATGACAGTGACCACGATAAAAGGAGTGCGGGGTCAGGGCCAGCTGGCAGGACCGGCTCAGTTCTCCACGGGGGTGGGGTCCTGCAGCGGCTGGCTCACGATCACCTGGACCACATAGTCCCGGGGGATCTTTAGCTCCTCCAGCCGTCCAGGGCCTTAACCACCACACCACCTGATGGTCCCTTAAGGGCCTGTTTCTTAACTGCCTCTCAAATTAGAAATTGCAATTATATGAATCTCAAAGGCTGGCTCTTTGTGTTTTATTATTTTTGTTGGTCTCCATCACAGATGGAATTTTTCACTGGTAATTCCTCAGAACTATGTCCATTCATCGGGAATTCAGAGCAGTGAAAATAAATTTCACGCCATAGAGTAGGAAATGACAGTGACCACGATAAAAAGGAGTGGAGGGGTCAGGAACCAGCTGGCAGGACCGGCTCAGTTCTCTCCGGGGGTGGGGTTGGGCAGAGGCTGGCTCACGATCACCTGGACCACATAGTCCTTGGGGATCTTGGGCTCTTCTAGCCCATCTTGTCAGTGAGAGGTTTGTGGGAGAACTCGCTCTGGCTGCTGGGCTCCAGCCCTCTGCAGCGCACAGCGGCCTCTTCACGTGGAACACCGTGTCCGTGCTGCTGACCACGAGTCTGAGGTCCTTGCCTGTGGAGAGGTGTAAACGGAACTGGCATTCATATCTGGAATTGGGTGGGGGCTCAGGAATATCCAGAGACTCTATATCACTCTTCTCTATCATGTTGATTGGTGGCTCCAAGCAACAGACCGGCAGCTGGTACCTGTCTCCAGCTTGTCATAGCGCTACCCAAGTGCACCATGGTAAGGTGATGCTGGCATCGTCAATGATCGCTTGTGCCAGTTCATGATCATTGCTCTCGAAAGCATCAGCAGCAGCCTTCAAGGCATCCCAGATCTCTTTGCAGCCTTCAAAAGCCGGTGTGGTATCCCAGAATTCATCCCTCTTGCTGCGCAGCTGTCCATCTA